CAGTCACACGGCCTCCAAGCCACGCCCACACAATAAGCCACGCCCACAATGGTGTCCCTCTTACCAATGTTAAAATCTGTTCACCTTACCCTATCCACATAGCCATGGCCACCCGGTCACATGACCAGCTAGCCACGCCCACCCAGTTACATGACCAGCTAGCCACGCCCACAGTGTCCCTCTTTACCAATGTTAAAATCTGGTCACCTTAGTGTAAGGAATGTACTCTGATTGGTTGTCAGACTCCCAGGCCTGGTTGAATCTTGCTGGGTGATGATGTAATGAAGGGGCTTTGGGCAATTCCTATTATGAGTTAATGGCTTTGTCCTGGTTTGGATCTTGAGTGAGGACTAATCTATCATGTCTGGAGGGCCATGTCTTTTGTGTTGTAGATAAGCTGGCCCAGCCTTTGTCTTGTAGATACGTTGGCACCAAAATATCTGCTGGAGGTGGCAGGGAGCTGAGACTCTGAGTTTGTCTTTAGAAACATGTTTCTCCTTTAGGGAAAATATAATATTTTTAATATTTCCTAGAATATTTCATTTTCCTAGGAGAGGGGTGCTAACTTCCTACAGTACTGTTATTTCTAGCAAATTTATGACAGCTAGAATTAAATTAAATTGTCCAATATAGGAAAAACAAATCCTTTGATTAGCAGTTTAGAACTTCGTAAAATAATAATATTAGTATTTAAAGTTAGGATCAAAATACATAAGAATTAATGCTGGATATATATTCAATAACTCAACCAACCAGGCTGTCCCTTCATTAGCACCTTATTTATTATTGCAATAAAATAATGTATTATTCAAATTTGTTGACCTGGAACAATGTCTGTTAGTGCTAGCCTTAGCATGTTTAAATAGAAATAAATTTTATTAAGTGTGGGACAAGGGCGTGAACCTCTTGGTGGCCAAGGTTCAGGGTTAATATTTTGCAAATGAAATTCTACAACATGATATGGCTGCATCGTTCATGTTGCAAATAAAAGGTCTAGATAGAAGGATCTACACTTTAGCTGTAATATGCCTGTTTTCAAACTACATATTAGTTTTCATATCTTTCTCATCTCAAAGGGCAGCAAGATCTCTGAGTGCTGCAAAAAAGAAACTCAAGGACCATTGATTTGGTGATCATAGTTGCCCACCTTACAGTTACAAAAGTCTTATTCCTTAATAGGTATCCAGAGGATAGAATCTTATGGAATTCTAGTACGTGAGAAACTCTTGTGTGCTTTTCAGCTGCAAAAAAAAAAAAATCTGTTCCAGCATTTTTATGAACAAACACTATAGGTTTTTTTTAATTTTTTAGTGTATTTTGTTTTTATTTTATTCTATGTTAAATACCTTAAATTGTAAAGAATTAGGCTTGTTTAGAGATGTTGTAATAGATTGATAGATGCTGTGCTTCTCTTTTTGGGAATACATCCCATTGAGTTTAGTGATAATTTACTTTCAGGAAAACTAACATGGCTTGCATCCTTGTTTCTTGAACTATTTCTATTGTTATTGTTTTAAACCCATTGATATTTATGTCTTCTTTTAATAAGCACTCTAAGTAGGAATGATTCTTTTTAAACAGAATAAGGAAACTGGGGCTCTCCTGATCTTGCTAGTCTTTTAAGTACCTTTTGTTACCCCTGCTAGCTGAAGCTATTGGGAGTTGTAGTTCAGCCAACAGATGAAAAACTACTAATTGCCTACTGTTACCATCACATTAAAACATCTTTCAAGATATGTGAGTCCTACCAAGTAAAAAGCCTCTTGCACTCTGTATTTTAAATAAAACATTTGGATTGTAAAGCTAACATCTTTATCATTACCAAAGTAAATTCTGTCTCTTTAGAATGATTTATTTTGTCTCTTTAGAAGTCACCTTTCTGGTCCTTTTGCAGTTTTGGTCTCCAGAGTGCCCTCTCCATTGTTTCTGTAGCTCTCTTTGAGATCCTTTCCCTTGAAGGTGAGATATTGATGTGAATATTTGCTATTGTAGGATCACATCCCAGGATTTTTACAAGAACAGACTCCTAAGAAGGGTTGTAGGGATAAAAAAAATTACAATAATCAAGTCTAGAGAAGACAAAAGTGCAAATAAGACTTTCAGCAGAAGTGTGACTGAGACAGTGTTGAAGATAGGCAATATAGAAGAAGTGTTAATAAGCAGATTTACAGAGAGACAGAATGTGAGAAGCAAAGGTAAGCTGAGGATCAAAGAGAGTACATGGAGAGTTTTTGCTGCAACATGACAACAAAATTTAGAATTGCAAAGAACAAATATGAATGTCTTTGCTACAGTGACTGCTGTTGGATTCACATCACTTTTGTGTATATTATAACAAAAGGCAAGCAAAGTTTCAGATAGCTATCTGTTACACAGAGAAACTATCAATCCATCTTAAAACCAATCACAAATCTTAAGGAATCCCTCAAACCCTAAGACCCATTATGGCCACCAAAAGACTTGAATGGAGTCACGGTGTTTCAGGAGGGAGGAGGGATGTGTCAAAAAAGTCAAAAGGTGGTGATCATGGGTGAAGTTCCACACATTTTTATGTGCATCGGGCCATTGTCTTAATTTTTTAAAATCACACTAGCCTCTAGAAACCTTCCTAAACTATTACTAAATTGTAACAGAAGTAAAAAAAAATTATCTGGCTGCCATATTGACAGTACTGTATTACTGTTATTTAAATGTAAATCAAATTAAGTTTAGCTTTTCTTCTGCTCCATTCATTACTTTTGCAACTACAACCTAAGCTTGCGTGCTATCTAGGAAAATAGCAGATGAAACTTTGAGGGCAGAAACATTGTGTTCTCACAACTATCCCTTTAAATCAGTGTTGATTGTTACTGGAAATTCTCAACTTATGATCACAATTGGGACTAGAGTTTCCATTGCTAAATGATGTGTTTGTTAAATGAATTGTACCCGATTTTAAAACTTTTTTTTTACCACAGTTTTATGCAAATCATTGGAGTTGTTAAGTGAATCACAAGGTTTGCTAGTTGAAACTGACTGGGAAGTTTGCATATAGCGATGACATAAGCCCAGGGCATTGAAACCATTGTAAATGCATGAAATTGCCAAGTGCCTGAAACACAATCACATGGCTATGGAGGCACTGTGACAATTGTTAAGTACAAGTAGTGGTTGTGAATATTTTTTTCAGCATCATCATAACTTTTAATAATAACTAAACAAATGTTATAAGTCAAGGACTACCAGTATATTTTTGCCAATCCTGAAGTTCAACTGAGAGACATGTATTGTCACACTTAAATAAGTGGATCTGTGCTGTGTGAATCTATAGGGATGAAGGAGATGGACCCTGTTCAAACATGGTGGCTGGATTGTTGGATGCTAGTCTTAACTCTAGGAATGAGAATCAATTTGATCTACAAGTCTTGGTCTAGAAGGGGGAGATCTGAACTGGTTCTGCCTCAGGCTCAAGTCAAAGAAATGACTTTAGTCCAATCATTTTCTCTCTGCCCTAGGAAGAGGCAATGGCAAATCACTTCTAAAAATGTTGCTTAGAAAGCTGCATGGACTTATCCATGTAGTTACCAGGTAGCAAAACTAACTTGAAGGCTAAAATAAAACTCTACCCCATCCCCCAGTAATATAACATCTTTATTGTTATATCCCAAAGGGCGTGATGTCTCAGTGGTTAAAGAGACTGCTCTAGCAATTGCCAACCTTGCAGTTCAAAAACATAAATGTGATTAGATAAATAGGTACCACTTTGATGGGAAGGTAACAGCATTCCATGTGCCTCAGCACAGAATCACGCTGGCCACATGACCACAGAATTGTCTTTGGGCAATGCTGTCTCCCTCAGTTAAGAAACATAAATGAGCATTGCTCCCTAGAGTTGGACATGACTGAACAAGGAAACATTTACCTTTACTATTGTTATATCGCATCATGACCAAAACTGTTGAAGAAAACAATGTTGTTGCAGCAATACAACAATTTGGCACTATTATTCCTATCTAGTTTTGGAGGCTGATACTTTGTGATAACCTGAGCCCAAGAATGAGAGGTCCTTGGAACTCTCTGAGCTTGGTTGTTTTCTTACAGATGTTTCATTACCCAAACTAGGTAACCTCACCATTGCTAGCAAGGAGTGGTGTTTGCTCTCAATTTATATTCTAGTGTCAGTGTTGGCAATGGTCTTGGTAGTACTTTGTTGAGCTGTTTACTGTTAGTTTGTTTGGCATTTCCTTGATTGGACAGAGCAGCGGATTCCTTATTTGATCCTCGAGTTTCAAATATTTTCCTTTATGAGTCCAAGAATATATTTCATTTAAGTCTCATTGTTCATGCTTCCCTGTGAATTGTTATTGTTTGGATGTGAAATACACACCAATGTGTATGTTGGAGAGAATGCTCATAATCAAAGGTTAATCAATAGTTCAGATATATGGATAAGAATACATATGTTATCAACATCTGCCTTTGATGGCTATAGTTACAGTAAGATGGTTCATGCTTTTTGGCTAGTTGGGTTTTTGTTTTGCTGTTTCTTAGTGCTTTTATTCTCTTACACAAGACAACAAGACAATTGCTCCAATGGTGAACTATCAGAAGCTTAAATGCACAGCAGTGTAGCTTCCCAGATCTTCCAAAATTGCTATTAAAATATGGTTCTTTATTGAGAAAATAAAAAAATAGCATACATAGGGAGCTAAGTAACTATAGTTAAAATATACCATTTTTATTTTAAATTGCATTTACAATCAAGAAATCAAATTTAGTCTTGACCTTCCTATTTTTTTGTTATGCATCCCCTAAAAGGCTTTGGGGGCCTTAGATTTAAGAAAGTTCCTTTCTGTTTTTCTTTTTCAAAGATGCTGAAGAAAATCAGTAGAACTTTTGCTTAGCTAGTATGATTTCTGAAACTGCAATCATACAAGAATAAAAACAGAAATGAAGCAAACCATCTTCTTCTTCCTAGAGTATTCCTGCAAGTGCAGGGTCCGCTTTTCAGATCACTGAACGCCATTTTGCATGGTCAGCTGCATCTGCAGGGTGCAGGCCCGCAGCTTGCATATCTTCCTTGATAGTGTCTTGCTATCTCTGTTTTGGATGCCCGCGAGGTTGCCGGCCATTGACCTCTAGTTGGTAGGCAGTCTTGGCAATGGTTGGAAGTGCTGTTCTCAGGACATGCCCATACCAGTGGAGCTGGCCTTCTCTCATCTTCTCTATAATTGTGTGCACACACCAAAATGTTGTTGAATGGTGTCATTTGTGGTCAAGACGGGGATTGCCCAATATCCAATGGAGCATTCACATTTCCATGGCATGGAGATAGCTTTTGGTCCTTGTTGTTGCTGCCCAGCATTCAGTGCCATACAGTACAAAAGGGTGGATGGTTGTCTTGTAAATCTTAGATTTAAAACAGGTTGGCATTCGTCTGTAACATAACACACCAGTGGCAGACAAATTAAAAAATTAAAGCAAACAATGATGAGGCTAATTATTGATGCTATATCAATATGTACCTAATAACATTGTTATACAAATGCCACCTTTTCTTCATGTCTTCTGAAAATATGTGAACTACTGTATTTCCATCCAAGTATATTCATTATAGTATTGACAACCTAAGTAAAAAATCCAATGTAGCTATCTTAGATTCAGCAAATTGTAGTGCCTTCTGTGAACAGGATTTACTATTTTAGGTTAAGACTGGCTTATCAGTAAGAAGTGTGGAAGAGAAAGAAATGTAATAAGTTTTTTTTATCTTTTTAAAAGTTAATTTATTATTTTTATGCAGCTACAAACAAGAAACATAAAATATGCAAATAAAAGAAAAAAGATTAAAAAGGAGTAAAAGCAAAAAAGCAAAACACAACAATTGTAACTATATCACAATTATTACAGTTCAATTTTTAAACAAGTTACACCTACCATTTAGTCGTCATACTCTGTTGACAAAGGGTAACATGTTTTATCAACTTTTGCTGTTTGGCAACTTTTGCTGTTTGGTGTACAAGTACTTATCCAAGGACACATGACAATCTTTGTAGGAACAATCCAGGCATGGTTGATCCACATTCTTCATTATAAATTCCAGTGCGATTGGTATATAACTAATAACACAAGGATATCTTTAAATATTAATTTTCTCCTAAGATTTTGGTTCACTATGATAAGAATATTCAACTGATATAAGATAATTGTAATATCGAAGTATCACTACTACTGCACCTTCAAAGTTATTATATCTCCTTTGTAATGTAGATAACCATCTCTTTTTGGAAAACTGTTGAGAAATCCACTAGCCTGAAAAAAAAACTTTTTGGTGAATGCATCTAAATTTCAGACAATAAGAAACATGTTTCGATTTATCAATTGCCTCAGTCGCTGAGGCCACCGGATTTGGGAAAACAGGAAAAACTAGTTCATTTTTCAAAATTTCTTCTTAATTATCTTTTATTTATTTTAGTAAAATTATTAAGTGTCAATATAATTAAACTATTCACATGGGAGCGCCCCCTCGCTCCCATAATCTCGGTGAAAGAGTTTTGGTCTAATTCCATCATGGCTGTGTTTACATTCTGGGCTGAAAACATGAAGTAGCTTAGTCACTTGAACTGCTGCTGACCCTGATCCATACTGAAAAAGTACAAAGGTAGGGCTTTCCAGATCTAACACAAACCGCTAGATTAAAGTTCTGCTGGGCAAAATTGCTTCCTGGCTGAGCACTTTTCAAAAACCATTTGCATAAATCCACCATTCCAAAGATAAATAGATTACGTAATTTAAGCTCAGCTCCGTTTTGCATGATCCCTTTCCTTGGCAGTTTTCCAAATGTACCTGCTATAACAGCAGTTCAAAAAGCTCCTTATTTGCAGAATCCTTCTTGTGCTAGCATTATTTTCCACACATTTCTGTAGATGTAGGCACTGATACATTCTGATAAAGCTTACCGGTCTCAGCAGCACTTTCTTCTGACAAAATATGGTTGTGGGCACACACGTGCATGACCCCTCCCCGCACTCCCCCACTTTTGGCATGCGATGGCAAAAAGGTTAGCCATCACTGGTCTAGACTCTTCTTAAAAACATCTAGTGATGGAGCGCCAGTGGTGGGTTCCTCCCGGTTCGGTCCGGTTCAGCCGAGCCAGTAGCGGTGACGATATGACGTCACCGAACCGGTTCTCCCCCCTGCTCCCCCACCCCCCACCCACGTTATTCTTACCTTTTATTTGGTCCCACCCCCAATCTATTGCTGCCTCCTGAGTCCCAGCTGATGACTAGAGGGAAAAAACCTGTTTAAACTCTTGTCACGGGGCTTCAAAGGGCTGTCCTACAGCTGATCAGTGTTAAAAGCAAACAACTGAGTCGGGTCATAAGTGCGAGGACTGGTCGTAAGTGCGAGGACCTTCCAGAAACGATTCTGACCAGCTAGCCACGCCCACCTAGTCACATGACCTCCAAGCCACACCCACAAAATAAGCCACGCCCACAGAACTGGTAGTAAAAAAATTTAGAACCCACCCCTGTGGAGCGCCCATAATTTCTGGAGGCAAGTTGTTCCACTGGTTAATTCTCCTCACTGTTAGGAAGTTTCTCCTTAATTTCATGTTGCTTCTCTCTTTGATTAGTTTCCAACCATTGTTTCTTGTCCTGCCCTCTGGTGCTTTGGAGAATAATTTGACCCCCTCTTCTTTGTGGCAGCCCCTCAAGTACTGGAATACTGCTATCATGTCACCCCTAATTCTTCTTTTCTTTAGACTAGCCAAACCCAAATCCTGCAGCCGTGCTTCATATGTTTTAGTCTCCAGGCCTTTGATCATCTTAATTGCTCTTCTCTGAACTTTTTCCAAAGTCTCAACATCTTTTTTGTAGCATGGTGACTAAAATTGGTTGCAGTATTCCAGGTGAGGTCTGAATAGGGTTTTATAAAGTAATATTTCATGTGATCTTGGTCTTAACTGAGACATTCTTTGTTCTCTGTCCCAAGAAGTGGGAAAATTACAGTTCTTAGATCTAATGAGTAGTCTGAACAGCTGGGGGAGGGACTTATAGTTAGTATTGTACCAGGGGTGGGTTCTAAAATTTTTTACTACCGGTTCTGTGGGCGTGGCTTATTTTATGGGCATGGCTTGATCGTCATGTGACAATTCTTTAGGATTTAGCAGAGGTACTGGTCTACCAGGCTTTTAACTGCTTGCAGAGCTGTACCGGTCTACCCATTTGTTCTTGGAGCGTCCTGGTCTACTCATTCATTTTTGGAGGCACCGGTCTACCATCACACTGCCTTTTAACATTGATCAGCTGTAAGGCGGCCCTTTGAAGCCCCATGGCAAGAGTTTAAACAGTTTTTTTCCTTCTAGCCGATCAGCTGGGACTCGGGAGGCAGCAATAGATTGGGGGTGGGGCCAAATAAAAGGTAAGAATAACGCGGGGGGGGGCAGCTCCCGAACAAAGAGAACCGGTTCGGTGACGTCATATCGTCACCACTATCGGCTCGGCCGAATCGGGCTGAACCTGGAGGAACCCACCACTGTATTGTACCATACTTGAGAAACCAACCTGCAAATTTTTCTAAACCACCAAAATCTGGAGATTTTGAGTTAGTGACAACCTCTTAGCCTAATATATCTCCCAGGGCTATTATTAAAAGGATAGAATTGGAAAAGGGAATATAGGTAACCCTCGACTTATCACCACAATTGAACCCAAGATTTCTGTTGTTAAGTGAAACATTTGTTAAGTGAGATCTGCTCCATTTTACAACTTTTTTTGCCACTGTTGTTAAGTGAATCCCTGCAGTTGGTAAGTGAGTCACCCAGTTGTTAAGTGAATCTGGCTTCCCCATTGACTTGGCTTGTCAGAAGGTCGCAAAAGATCATCCCATGATCTTGGGGCACTGCAACCATCATTAATATGAACCAGATGCCAAACATCTGCATTTTGATCACATGATCATGGGGAAGGGGCAAAGGTCGTAAGTGTCAAAAACGGTCGTAAGTCACTTTTTTTCAATGCCACTGTAAATTCAAACAGTCACTAAGCAAATTGTTGTAAATTGAGGACTAGCTATACTCTGTATATCACTGTGGGTTTGTAGTGGAAAAAAGGAAGGAGGAAGGGGACGGAAGGAGGAGGAAGAGGAGGACTGAGAGCCATAAGAAATTAGCTCAAGATTTGTGTAGAGCTCTAGAATACTCAACTACCCAATTCAAAGGGGAATCTATAAACTAAAAAGAGAAAATTTCTCTTCTAATAGCTAAGTGGAACCATTTATCTACAGCAGGTTTTTTAGGGGGAAAATATGGAAGTGGTTTCCCTGCTGCCTCTAGGAAATTTCAACTTTTCAATCTGCTTTATATCCCTAGGGCAGGGCAGGGGTGAAATCCAGCAGATTCTAGAGAACCGGGAGCGGAAATTTTGAGTAGTTCGGAGAACCATTTTGCAATATCCTTCCCCCAGGAATGGGGAGGGAATGGGGATTTTGCAGCATCCTTCCCCTGGAGTGGGGGGGAAATGGAGATTTTGCAGTATCCTTCCCCTGCCACGCCCACCAAGCCATGCCAACCATGCCAAGCCACACCCACCAAGCCACGCCCACAGAACCAGTAGTCAAAAAATTTGAATTTCACCACTGGGGCAGGGGTGGCCCATGGGGTGCTTAGTCTGACCTGTGGGGCCGCCCTGGAAACAGGAAAGGACCAGCCTGCGGTGCCCCTGCCAGTGAAAATAGGCTCCTGAGCTCCATTTTCAGCTGCGATGGCTTTCTGCAACCCTCTGCCAGAGAAAACGGAGCTCAGGAACCCATTTTTGCTGGTAGAGCACTTGGGCCACCAGAGGCGCCCCAACACAAGTGATGTCGAGCTGGCCACGCCCCCTGGCCCCCCAAAGGTCAAACACAACCGTGATGTGGCCCTCAATGAAATAGAGGTTGACACCCTTGCCTTAGGGCTTCCACGGCCTCCCTTCCAAATCCTAATCAGACCTAAACCTGATTAGCTGTAACATCTTTCTATCTATTCTTTTCTCTTCTGTTTTAGTTCTGTCTTTGTCGTTTTTAATGTTTGTTTAATCATTATTATATAATGGGTTTAGGAAATGAATGTTTTACATATCTGCCGTTTTATTGG